TGGGTCGTGTCTCATATTATTTGTTATATTTTTATTATTCATTATTTTCACTTGACTCGCATAAATAATTTTGTTCAAAGAAAATTTTATGCAGTTGTACTTCGCAGCACTTCACTTGCAATTTGCAATTTCTAGTAAATAAGTTTAACTGGGTTCGTAAATAACATTGGCCTCAAAATATTGTGGCTGAGACATGGGCCGATTAAACGTAGAAATAGGAAACCTAGAAATATAGTAAAAACGCTGAATAGTAATACTCGAGCGTCACAACATGCGGACGTTTGTACGTGTAGGTTAGTCTAGAAACGTCGCCTAAAGTAATTGATTTTACCCGGCAGAACGTAAGAAGGAAACTCCGCTCTTCAGTCGTCTTAGGCCCTTGTTTTTTGACAATGAATTTCAGAGGTCAAATTGCTGTCAAGCATATGGATTGGCTGCTTCGCAGCAATGAGTCTGTCACTGTAAATTCAACGTTAAAAATGAAATGAACACAAAATAACATGCACTTTTTCGTATAAGGCAAAAAAAATAATTTTTGTGTTTCCATGTTTTGGGAAAATCCACAAAATGTGTAGGTTGGTAGGAAATTTTTTTTTTTTTTGGATTTGCATCACGTACCATCCAGATAAAATAGGCTAGGCCTTGGCCGCTAGCCTGGCCAAGGCTATTCCAGCCTTACTTGCTCATAAAAAAATACTGTTAGTTTTAGTTAAAAAAAAAAAAAGCTAAAATGCCGACCTTGAATTTCGTATGAGTCGGTAATATTTTTTTTTATTTGGCCTAAATAGTATCAACATAATTTTTCTCCTCTAAATATATTACAAATACGTAATTCAATTGAATCTTGTCATTTTCATTATTGTAATTATAAAAATTATTATAATTATAATAATTAATATTATTCATCATTAATATTACTCTATATTTTGAGCTTCCATTTTAGTCCATAGGTTTTCAATAGAGAGTCAGTTGAAATTTAGTTTTTGAATAACAATCAATAGTATTAATTAATAATAACAATTTACAATTATAATACTAACAATAACAATAATAATAAGATTTATAAAGCGCACATATCCACTACAGCAGTGCTAATTAAAGGCACAACAGAAGGAACCAAAAATTACTGCGAATCTGAAAATAAACATCTTTGAATTGTTTTAATGCATTTTCAGATGTTACACTTTGGTGCAATTTAGAAATAAAATTTCATAATTTTGGACCATTTATAAATTACTATTAATGAAAGATTGGAATTAGGTTTGAGACAATCAGACCTATTGTAATACAATTGCAATTTGGAAGTTACATAAAATATTCATTCAACCCAAGCTGTTATCCCAATGCTACATGCTTTGTAGTAGACGCTAGTTTCAATGCCTTATTGTAGGAGCGGTTTGGCGCACCAGTTTCGGTTCTGCTTCTCAAACTTGAGGTACTGTAGGAGCTTCAATCCCTCGCTGTGCATTTTGCTTAAGTCCTTACGCAAACACTTAACCTACGATTGTCTCTCTCCACCAAGGAGTATAAGTGGGTACCTGGTAGGTTCAAACATAAAATGCACTGATTACAGCTGCAACATTATGGAATTCTCCCCGGAGGCTGAGTATGTGTTCCATATGTGCTTGATCAAATGACCAGGAATAAAAATGCGAAGCGCATACCATAGAGACCTTTTTGGCATGAAACGCTACATAAGTCTAACATATTATTATTATTATTAGTGCTATCGATGCCAAGAACTGCAATGCAGAACTCCACTTGCAGGCCCTCCTGTAAAATGTCCTGTGAACTTTTTCAATAAGATTTAATATTAAAAAGACAAATTTTATTGTGTTTACAACTCAAAGATAACGATATTCACAGACACGTTGTTTTACCTCAGAAACATGCCAGACGTTGTATTGCTGCAAGTGTGACATATTTTTCGAATTTATCAGGTCTGGGGCAATCATATGCATTATCTAGCTTGTGCATACGTCATTGTTAAGATTATTGATAGAAAAACACCATCAACATGTTGATATTGCTGTGCCAAACTCCATTTGCTCAAAATTATTTTTTAATTCCATGGTCTTGCCAGTTAATCTGGCAGTTACGTTGTTTTATGATGGAAAAGCACTAGATTTGAAGTTTTGTGCTTAAAGATAGGTGCTACAGTGTATCTCTGAAACCACTCATTGTTGAGACCTCAAATTTTCACAGGTAATCCAGAAGTGTTTAATATACTCCCAAAATGATATTATCTAAAAATTGAAAAAAATGTCAGTTACATTGTTTTGCCTCGGGACGACTGAGTAGAGACAATGCAATAAAGTTTTGATTGTCAGTAGAAATACAAGAGAACAAGGTAGATCATTTATTTACTTACTTTGATAATTATAATTATTTATTTGCATGTGTAAATGTGTTTATTGTTGTGTTTGTGTGCTTTGTGTAATTTTATATGTTGTGTACATTTAAATTCTTATTATCTTACTTTTGGTAAGTCCTTTTCATCATTATATACTTACTCATGTCTTTCTTATCTGTCTATTTAATTTATGAATAAATTAATTTGAAGTTGAAATA